AGATGGCGGGGGGGGTCCCCCCCGCCCCCCCCCCCCCTTACTCTCGGTCAAGCAACTAAATGAGGGCCCCCAGGGCCCAAGGGGGCACCGGGCCCCTGGCAGGCTTGGCTTTCCTTTCCGGCGGGATGGAAGGAGGCTGCCTGTGGGGGCTGGGGGAGCAGCTGGGCTTGTGGGGTGCGTCCCAGGCAGCCTGCTGGGGGGGCCTTTCCCAGCGCCTTTCTAGCACCCCAACTTCCCCTGGGCCTTGTTTCCAGGCTGGCGAACACACCCCAAGCCCCGTATTTTTATTTTCTGGAATTGCCCACGCAGCACCTTTCTGGTCCCGAGGCAGTTAGGAGAGGGAAGAAAGGAAAGGAGAGGAAAAAGAGCAAGCGAGGGGCCGGGGCTTTGCTTCGGAGCGCGCCTGTCTCCTCTTTAAGAGCCCCAAATGGCTCTTTTACAAAACGCTGGCCCAGCAGCTCAGGGGAACGGCCGAGCACCGAGGGCGACTGTCAGTGTCTCAGACTGACCGAGCTGTTCGCCAGCTTAACATCAGCAGGGACCTGGGGAAAGAGCAGGGGAGGCACGAAGCACTCGTCCCCAGACCAACGGACAGCGTTCGGTTCCTATTTCGGTTGAGGTCGTTCTTTATGAATGCGGATCAAGGGATACAAATCGGGCAGAGCAAATCTCTGCTCCCACTAACCCTGGATTCCGGACTGGAGGGAAGGGCCCCGGAGCGTGCAAGCCAGTGCCGCACCGCAGTGCGGCCAATAATCTGGGAATTGCAGGATCAAACTTGGGTCCCTGAACCAGAGCCTCGGTCTCTCTCATTCACGAGGCAGTCCTGGCTTGGCAGATCCTCCTGGCCTTCCACAAAGTGCCGGTTTGTCTCCCAGAAATGAGGTGGCCCAGAGTGCCCGGGATCGGGTTGAAAGCTGGACGACTGGGCCCTTTGCACCCACATTTCTGAGCTCGTTAAAGGTTGATCCAGACCAGTTCTAAACTCGTGTTTGTTTTTCAACTTTATACGTGGTTCCTGCTGCCCTAGGTGTGCAGTGGCATCTCTGAACTACAGCCAAGTGGAAGAAAGGTTATGCGCTGCGCGTGCTTCCCATTGAGAATGGTGGTGCAGAAAACTCACCTGACGCTGCCAAATGGAGAGTGCCCAGCCCAGGGTCAGTGAGGACTTTGGCAAGATGGAGAATTGTACAGCAGGGATACTGCTGGTGTTTACACAACACTGCATCCACAACCAAAAGTCCAGGTCAGGCTACCTCCCAGGACAGTGTTGTACACAAATGCACAGAGGAAGCCAAAAGTCAGAAAGTTCAGGTCTGTTGGTTGGAGTTTTAGGTATATTAGAAAAGCTAAATGAAACCTGCACATTCTGAGGCAGTCTACCTGTGAGTCATCTACCGGCAGGACACAAATGACAAGGGAAGGCTCTGAGTGACAGACTTGGTGCACTTCTCAAATGCCTTTGGTTGCGTTCTATTTTCAAAAAAGTGTAAATAGTGACAACGGCCAAAGTTGGTGTCACACCATCTTCCAAACGTGGCTCCACCAGGCCCACTTTCCTTGCAGGGGGGAGAAAACCCAGGGATTTCTTTTCACTCCTGTGCTGTGATTTGTGGAGCAGTTAAGGGAGGGACCAACCCAGGCCAAAGTCATGCCTTGGAGCTTCCCAGGTGAAACAGCTGCAATCAGGTTTTGAGCAAACACCATAAACCCACTTTTCTCTTTCCTGTTTAGAGTAATTCAAATGCTATGGGAGTCAAAAAAGAGGTGCAGATTTCTGGGGGAAAAACACCGACTCCACCACTCCCAGGGCAAGGCGAGGGAATTGTGTTGGGACCGGTGCTCTTTCACCAGCCAGCACAAGGCGCATGCCTTGGAACCCTGGAAACGCTCACCTGCCTGTCCCCGAAGAGTCTCCGGGAAAGCCCTTTGGCCCCTCTGCTTTCTCTCAGCCTGCCTCAGCCTACCTCACAGGGTGGTCTGGAGAAGGGAGTGTAAACATGGGACTTTGAACCCCTGGAGAAAAAGTGGGGCAGAAATCTAGGGAACAGGAATAACTGGCAAATTCATCAATTATTGCAAGAATGTCTGTAATGCAAATGTGGTATTTGCTGAGGCGGTGGAGGGGGGCATCCTGGTCTCCCTCCCTCCCTTCCGTCCTTCCTTTTGTGCAAGCTTGCAAACATGAAAAAATGCTGTTTTGGGTGAAATGTTTGGGCTGACTTGATGTTGGAGGCTACAGAAGGTAAGAGCCCTGCGGTTGATGGGTTGGTTGAGATACATCTTTCAAGCCCTCTGCAGCCTCCCTGGCTGCCTGCAATTCCCCTTCTGAAAAAGTTTTCCCCTGGGACCGAATTAAAATGTAGGAAGCCAGGGAGGCTGCAGAGGGCTGGAGAGGACTGCAGAGAAAGAAGCCACTGGTTCCTCAAAACTCCATAAATGCAACCTCTCCCTCATTCTGCAACCTCCTTGGCTGCTCCTACTTCCCCCATCTGAAAAAGCTCCATGGAAGACTCTCCACTGAGCACAGAAGGGCTTTCTTCTGCTCTTGCCTTTATTTCCCCACCTCTCCTACAGCCCAGGGAGATCTCAATGGTTTCCCAACCAAACATTCATCCAGAGAGGAGGGGGAAAGTACCTTCTTCTTGCTCTGCAACAGAATGAGCAAATTGGCACCTCGCCCCCGTACTTCCCATCCCAAGAGGAACATGCGGCCACGTGGGAGGCGAGATACGGCTGTCCTGAAGAGTTGCCACTGACAGCGGTGTTGCTCCTGCCTGACCAAAGTGCTTGTGAAACTGAGCCCAGCCAGAGCTTTCCCTGGACCCCTGGGCAAGTGACCAAGGATTAAGGGTGTGATTTCTAAATCTCCTGGGCTACAAGGGGCTTTCCCAACAGACTCCAGAGAGGAAAAGCCGGGCAGCTCCAGAAATGTGCCATCTAAAGAGCCACCTGCCCCATCCAACCGTCCGAGCATAGCCCATCCCCAAGGGCCGCCTCCATTCTGAATTCACTTTGCTTTTCCAGTGGTTGGTCTCCCCTCCCTATGCAATTACCTGATACTGAGTTTAATTTCCTCTTTCCCTCCATCTGACAAACATTGGAAATTGCACTCTTATCTCTGCCCCATCCCAAAGTGAATCTTCCTGATTGTCTTGTGTGCTTTTCATTGTGCGTGCAAATATGGAACCAAATAGCAACTTTTCCACATCTGCTTTTTAAACCAACTGGCAGCAGGTTGGCCTGAAACAATTAATTTCTGAAGGTTTGGGAGGAACAGAATGGGGTGTGTTTCAGCAGAGAGTGGCCTGTTCCTCACGGCACAAAAATCGAGACTGGAACTCCCTGTCCCCGTGAAACAGCGACCTACAGTCTTGGAGACCCATATTGTTGCCAATATCCACATCACGGCTTGCAGAAATGGGGGTGCTGTGAAACATAGTTTTAGGATTGTCTCCAGCCATATTCTTCTGCAGTTAGTCAAGAATTAAGGCCCTGCTTTAAGAGTAGTTAGACTGGTGACTTTTATGGCCAATTTGTATGTTGCAATTTGTTCAAGTAGTGGTTTTTAATCAGTTTTATGGATTGCTTTATTGCTTGTAGAGTCTTATTTAATGATTGCTTTTTATGCTGCAATTCTGTATATGCAAATGGGTTTTAAAAATTTCATTATTTTCCCTGCATTTACTTTTGTGTGCACATGTGTGTTTATTTGGACATTCTTGTGAGGCTAGAAAGTGAGATGGAAAATTTCTTGCACGAAGAGAAATGGAATAGCCGCTGTCAATGAGTTCCATCAGTTAATTATGCCACACAAAAAAACTATTTTGCTTTATATCAACTGCTTTTCAGCAGATTACCTTCAATCTTCGTGCTTTGCGATAGCGAATATATCCCTATTTTCAACAGTCAGGACAGAAAGCAAAGAAAGAAATTCCTCCACCCCAACTAGTTTTGCTCTTCACCTTTCTTGCCCTCCTCGGTCCCTTGCACAATCCTGGTTTACTGAAGGGGAAGGTCTGCAGGGCATTCTGGGTAAAGGGTGCTGTACTGGAGAAACACATTTGGAGAAATGAAATGGTTTCAAAGTGTTTGCTGCACATCAAAAATTAAACTTAACCCCTGCCTCTTTCGTTTCTTGTTAGAAAAAATAATCCATTAATTCATTCATGATTTTGGTATCATTCTGAGACACATCAGGTCCATAGGAAAATTTTATGTAGCTTTCTTCAAAATTGAGAGTGCTTTCATTATTTAAACTCAGCTACTGAATTAATCCAGTTCTGTGTTTGCACAATATATTTAATTAAAGAACCAATGAATTCAATTTGCACGACGCTCAAAGCACCAAGCAAGTTTGAAGTTAATGAAGTTTAGCATGTTGTGCAAATACAGCCTTAGTTTTGATACTAATGAAAAATAGATCTAGGATGAAGCACAATTTGCTAAGTAGGATTGGGATTTACTAGAAAAAAAATAAAATGGCCAAGATTTCTATAAATTTCACAATTCAGTTCTGATGGTATTTAACACCATTCAGTTTGAAAAAAATTAACAAGACAAATGTGGATAGTATCAGAATCTGAAGGAAGTTTTGAAATCTGCTCTCAAAAATGGCAATTGTTGCCAGAATAATTAGAAAAAGATCAGGTATATATTGAATCTTAAAAATTCTAACTCCAAGGTACTAAAAAAATGGGAAATGAAGGCAAAAGCAGCATTTGCTGACAGCAATTGGATAATTGTTTTAGAATGGAAATCTAAGCCTTTGTCAGTTTTAAAATGGGACAATTTTGAGACAACTGACACTATTGCTATCACCACTATACATCACTGTTCATTTATTTATTTATAAAATGTATATAGCCACCCATCTCACTTAGTAATTCCAGGTGGCTCACCATCTAAATATCAAAACTCAACGATCGATAGAAAAATTGAGATTACAATCTAGCTAAGGCCTCACAATCAAAATCCCAGATGTGGCTTGGTTAACCTGACGCCTGAAGGAAAGGCAGCTCCTCGAGGTTTCCCGGAAGGCCACCCGATCAGGCCCACCCAGAATTCCAGGGCATGCTGTGCCAGAGGGCAGGTGCTGCGACAGAAAAGGCCCACTAGATGCCATCGCCTAGTCACTGGGCAGCTGGAGCATCGCTGCCCTGCCAGATCTGGTGGGATGGACAGAGGCCATCGGGGGGAGGCGGACCTGCAGATAACCAGGCCCTGTGCCATGTAGGGCTTTATAGGTGACCACCAGCACCTTAACTGCACTGGGAAGCCTGCTGGGAGCCATGAAGCAGTGGTGTTACATGGGCACACCATGGTATGCCCCAAACTGGCCACACTGCTGCATTCTGGACCAGCTGCGGCTTCTAAATGCTCTTCAAGGGCAGCCTCACGTAGAATGCATTGCAGTAGTCCAGCTGGGAGGTGACTAAGGCATGAGCGACCATGACCAAAACGTCCCATTCCAGAAAAGGGTGCAATTAGCACACAGGATGAATTTGTGCAAAGGCCCCACTGGCCATGGCTGCTACCTGTTCCTTGAACAGGAGCCATGAGTCCAGAAGGATTTCCACTTGCGCATAACTCATTCTGGGGGAATGCCACCCCATCCAGAGTTAAAGATAGTAAATCACTGGACTCGGGGGGCCCTAAAACCCAAAGCTGCTTGGCCTTGCAAGGGTTGAGCTGGAGCCTGTTCCTCCCCATCCAGACCTTACAGCCTTCGACACTGACAGAACCTTGGACAGCCCAGGACAGACTGATCTAGCTGAGTGTCATCAGCATACTGAGGGTATTTAACCCTGTGCCAACGAATGGCATCAGCCAATGACTTCATGTAGCTGTTAAACAGGAGTGCGGAGAAGGTGGAGCTCTGAGACACCCTGCAGTGCAGAGGCCTGGAGCTAGACCTCTCCCTCCCCACCACAATAGGGACTGGAACTGGCCCTGGAGGAAGGAGGAGGACTGCTGAAGAAGCATGCACCCTGCTCTCAGCCCCTTTAGCTGGTCCAGAAGGATACCATGATTGATGGCATTGAAAGCCACTGAGAGATCCAGGAGGGCCAGGACAAGTGTATGACCCCCATCCCAAGCCCACCAGACATCGTCCACTGACAATTAAAACTGTCCAGTTCAATCCAGTTGGATCAAACCAGTGGCTTCTTCAGGAGAGGATAAACCCCCACTCCTTCAAAACAGGTAGAATGAGGGTTCTTTCCCTCAGAGAAGTGTTCACCACCATGGGGATCCAACCACAGGTCTCCTCCTGGGAGGCCTTAACCAGCCAGGTAGGACATGGATCTAATGTACAGGAGGCAGAACCTGAAGCCTACTTCCTTTCCCCACTTCTTAGGACTCATGGGCTCAAACTCCCCTGACATAACAGAGCAAGATCATGTTTTTATATATGTATACATATTGACACATATGTACAAATCAGTGGTAGCCTGAATCAATTCACTGGGATGGATGGATGGATGGATGGATGGATGGACCCCCCCACCCCCAATTTGATAGTTGAAATACATGATTTTTGTGCAGAAAAAAGGAGAAAGAAATATATTTGAAGCAACCAGAGAAGTTCTGGAGTGAAGAAACACTCCAGCTATGGATGATATACTTTGGATTTGGTCAGAATAAACTGCTTGCAGATTTTGCTCAAGGAATGTTCATGGGAAATCAATAGAAGAGAATCTCTGTAGCTCAGGGCTGAACTGTGGAGCCCTTCGGGTTCTCTGAGCTTGGTTGTTTTCTTGCAAACATTTCGTTACCTGGCTAGGTCACATTTTCAGTGCTAGCTAGCGTTCATGGGAAATCTTTATTAGCACTGTCCAGTATTTGCTGAAGGTGCCTCTGAGCACTCAGTCTCTGTCAGTGATATCTGATTCCAGTGTTTGATAGGAAAGATCAAGGTCCATGAGGCTGACAGGTTCCTTCCCAGCTTCCTGAACTTGTATAGTTAACACATCTGAATAGAGAAAAAGTGGAATCTGACTCTGCACGTCTTGTTCTCCCAGCCTGCTCTGATGCTTCTGGAAGGAAGTAGATTTCAGTTTGTATCCCCTCCCAACACTGCACAAGAGAGAGAAGATGGATGAGTGTAGCTTGCAATTCCCCCTCTACCAAAGGTCATCTTGCACTCCAGCTGTCCTCTCTGCAGTTACACTTCAGGGCTTGCTCCCTCCCACAATCGGTTGCTTTCCACAAATGCTTTGCAAGCCCTCAGAAGTTTTCTTCCCCTTGAGAATTTCTTCCACATTTCTCTAGATGGTGATTTTAAACTGCTTAGATAGATGCAGTGTGGAAGGTGGTCATTTTGCTATACATCTCTATATCACCCTGAAACCTCCTGGCTACCCACATTTCCCTGAAAAAATGAAGAGAGTTCCATCCCAATTTCTTCTCTGGGAGACATGGAAAGCATGAGAAACTGGGGAGACTATGGGTTGCTGAAGGGGGGTGGTCTAATGAAAGACAGGACACTCACATCCCCCAGGGCTGGACTAGATGATCCTCAAGATACCTCTCAAGTCCACAGTTCTGGTTCTACAATTCTCTCTCAAAGCCACATCTTCCAGTGACAATTTTCCCAAAATGCTCTGCTCCTTTGAAAAAATATTCCATAAGCCAATTTCACTTAACTGAAAGGACAAATGCAGAATTTTCCTGCACAACACTGTTCTCCCCAGATTTATCAGCCAAAAGATTTATCGTCTTCTTCATGATGTGCAGAACGGCAGAGGCTCGCAAAGTTGCCTAGACCTGCGAGTTGGAGGATGAGCTACGCCTGGAGAAACCCTTCATCTGCTTCTCTGCATACGAACACCTGGATCTGCCAAATTCTTCCAGAGGTCGCAAGCATATTTCAAGTTCTGAGGTGACAAATCAGTAAAATGATTTAAGATACTGGGCGTAATACTAGCTACAGTATATTCATATAAGCTTAATACAGGCTAGAATTGCAGGCCTCATAGATCACCTGCAAGTTAGAATGATTTAAGTTGACAACTTCTGGAAATGGTTTCTGTCACCTTTCGAGTCAATTTCCAGGATACAGAGCACAGAGAGGTGGTTCAGTTTGTTGGTCTTTTGACTGTAACAATCCAAACATCCGATTAGCTCTTCCCTGGCACTACCACTTGGGGTTGCCCTGCGTACTCTTCAGAGGCCAAGTGCATTTCTTGGCTTGAACAATGCTGCATGCTCCCACCCTGTGGCATTGTCGGAAATTAAAAAGGCAGCCACACGCGGGCCCCTGTGCTGCGGCTGGAGGAAGGGGCCAACCCTCATGCCTGACTTTCTCTGGCATCCCTTTTCACATTCCTGTGAGCAGGCACGAGTGCAAGGGCAAAGGGCCTAGTGTGCTCCCTACACGTGTGCCTGCAGCTGGGGGAAGGTTCCACTCCCAAAGGGCCGTGGTAGGGGCAGAGTGCATTATCCTGGGCAGAAATGCCCCAGGGCAACTTTCAAGCCTGGATCTGGGGTAACCCCCCACCCAGGGCTCTTCCCACAGCAATGCGCCCTCCTAGCGCTGCCCTCCAGCCTCCTCAGCCCTGGGGGAGTCAGCTCCTCTCTTTCCACCGTCCTGCCAAAAGTTGACACACACACAGTCTTGGCTTTGATATCTTTAATTCACCTTTTCTTGTCCACTTTTTCTTTTACAAGTTAAATCAACAGGAAAACAATAAACCATTTTTTATCTTCATATATATTTATAAAAAAAGAAAGAAAAAGAAATCACTCTCCTGTGTTAATTTAAAAACAAAAAAAGTCCTTGGTAGCACATTCTCTTTCTTTAATCTTTTCTGTTAAGAGGTGTTACTGGTCAGCATAGCAGGATTTTTTTTTATTACTAAAAAAAAACCTCTCTCTTTTTAAGGGTTGAAAAGGAATTTTAAAAATGGCTAAAGTGAGAGAAATACAGATTGGACAGTAGTTCCACAAATAAATTTCAGGGTTGTTGGGGGTTTCTGGCCATCAGAAGGGTGATAGGTGAAGGGACGGAGCAATTTCTATCATCAAACTGGGTTTCTCCCTTTCACACATTTATTCCTTGCAGAAATTGAGAAGGAATTGACAAGGGGAGCATCTTAGAGAGAGAGGTGGTGATTTTTTTTAATCATACAAGGATGAGAGAGACCCCATTTGCAATTTGCACACTTCCTTCTTTTATTTTCAGAGATAATTTCTTCTGATGGGGGAATTTGCTCTTGCGATAACTGTCAATTGGTGATGAAAACCATCTCTTATTAGTAGAGGGGCTCCCTTTTTCTGCATTTGTTTCAACTAGGCATACTTGGGCCATAAGCCCAGTGTGCGTGCAAGTTGTATTGATGATAGTGTAAGAAACTCATGTCTAACTTTGTTTCCAATCAAGCTAGAACTCAGACCAATTCCAAACTCAATTTCTAATCCCTGATTTTTTTCCCTGATATTTTTTTTAAAGAAAAAAAAACTAGCTTTGGTTAAAAAGACCTGTCACTAAAAAAACCTGAAAACTGTGGCTTTGCTCCTGCCCTCCCCCCCCAATAAAAAACTCTGACTTTCCACAGCACAATCTAAATTTCCACACTGAGACGGTGGCCTGAAAGCCCAGCAATAGATCCAGGTGAAGAGCAGCAGCTTGGAGAAGGTCGGCGCATTCCAGGAAAGTAACTTCACGTTCTTTTCTTCCTTGCACCACCCGCATCCCTGGTGCTTGCAGAGAGAAAATGTTTCCTTCCTTGGTGGGCATCAGGCAAGGTCTGTCTTGCCTCTGTGCCCATCACAAAATCCCTCTCTTCTTCACTGTAACTCTGTGGCAACATCCACAGTGGGGAAGACCGGGATGGTAACAGCTGCCTGCTAGGAGTCCCATTTCACAAAGCCAACAGCTGGCTGAGTTTGGTGTGCTTATTAAGGACTGCAATCCTGCAAGACACAGATACCTGGTCTTTCACCCATCCTCCCACTCTCCCAGAATGTACAAATACAATGTACAAATAGTTTTGTTCTTGCTGTGGCTTCACTACAATTTAGGTTGCAAAAAATGTCTTCATGCTTCTGATTTTAACCAGTCATATATTACATCATTTCCACACAAGTATTGAGAATTCATTCTTGAAACATCTGCATGTCTACAGACCCCCAAACTCCCTTAAAAATGGAACGAGTTAGATCTCCATTATGCCACAGGTAACAGGATGAGTGTGGACTCCAAGTCAGAGTTGGATGTTTGGTAACAAAGTTGTCTCTTGGGGGAGAGCAAGAAGTATGTCAAAACATCTTATTTCAAGAGAAATATTGAATTCCAAAAAGGAAAACCTCCTCAACTAAACAAAGCTGACAAGCAGAAGAGCAGCTTGTGAAGCTAAAAGCACAAGTCCAGAGCACCGAACTGACCAGAGTCATACCGGTGCACATCTAGTATAAGAATTCAAGGACCCTGAGGGTCCCCTTGGTCAATGGTCTTCTCCTTGCTGTTTTGAGGTGGAGGGGCTGACCAGAAATCTTACTACTTTCTGCCCTGAATACTCGTTAGAGACCCCTGAAAAATTTAAACAAAAGCAGAAACAACTTAAAAATAATAATTTAAAACTTATCCTCCATAAGGATGGGCCAGCTTCCACCCATTTCCAAAATAAATAAAGTTAAACTGCATGAAAGTACAGTAGGGAGCGGTATGGGTCAGAATCAGCCAACCACACCAAGTCCAGTGGCCTTTATGGTCCCCAGATGCACCCGCCTGAACCCAGCAATATGGAGAAAGGAAGAGATTCCCAACCCTTTGTTCACATGTGACGAACGTCAACGACCACCAATCAGTGGTGGTCCCTGGGGATGGTGCAACTCAATGGCCTGCCCTTCACCTCCTCCTGGGACATGCTTTTCCTCTACCCCCTCACCCCACCACAGTCCAGGCCAAAGTTCACATGGTGTGGTCATCCAAGTCCCTGAAGTCCCCTGGTGTGGTTCTGATCAAAGAGGAGTCGTCCAGCAGGAGAGCAGGTCATCCTCAAAGGCTTTGGCCAGGCCAGGGCAGCTCTCCCCTTTGCACCACCTAATTGTTCAGGGGGTTTCCGTCACCAGCACTGGATTCCTGGATGCTCTCCACCTCCTCTGGAATGTCCTGCATCCTCTGGAAATCTGAAAATCAGCAAGAGGCATTCCTGGATGTTGGAAGAGCACATCTTGAAGAAGATGCTGCCTTCATGAAGCTTCCCCTTGCAGATGGAATGTCCATTTCTATTCCACTTGCTGTAGGACAGTAGGATTCCCCTGAGGCCTAGGTGGGAGGGGCAAGGCTCAAAGTGCATGGCCTAGGTGGGCTTATGGGACCAAGGGGAAGTGGCACCTGAATACCCGTTGGCATTTCTTTGCTTATGCTAGTAGCAGAGCATGATACCTGACTGCCCCTTGTCAGAAAAGAGGGCAGCTAACCAGGGAGCCTTGTGGTAATGGTTCCAACTCACCTCTGGGGCTGGAAGGGGGAGACCGGGAGTTGCCCAGGCCCTCTTCCTCCAGCAGCACCTGCAGATGCTCATCTGCTTCCTCCTGCAGTCGACCAGGGATGCCAGGGAAGGCCACCTCATCCCGCTGGCCACTGGAAAAAGTCCGGTGCAGGGAGTGGCAGCCAGGTGAGAGCGGCTCTCCCCCACGGTTCTGCTATGGAGAAGAAGGGGGACAGAGGAGACCAAGACGTGTCTGAGTTAAGCCCTCAAAGGAAGAGATTCAGTTGACAAAATATGTTCCCATACCTTTGCTTCTGAGAAGGACTGTGTGGCCAAAAGGACCTCAAAAGCTTCCCTCTTTAATTCCTCCCCAACCTCCGCTCACCACCCAGAGGCTGGGTTTGCCCAGCAGACTGAACCAAATAGATTACTTGATTACAGTATTGAATTAGCCAATTTTCTGGATCTGCACAATAAGCAGAACCATAAATCAACCAAATGGTACAAGTCACACATGTACAACCCCCTATAACCCAAGTCATGTTAACCTATCAAGCTTAGTGTGCTTTTTGAATGCAGCCTCTCGGTTTTGAACATGTTCTGGGAACAGGGCCAGAGTTAAGCCTGCTGGGCAGAGGCCTACAGTATTCTCTTGCACTGAGTCAAGCTCCAGGCCTCCTCAGTGTGAGCTATGAACAGGGCGCTTCCTGCTAGGCAAAAGCCCCGGCTCCTCTAGCCCTGGGCGGCTGAAAGGCAGTGGGCTGGGGCCTCTTCTACCACCAGGCAATGCTCCCTTTCAGCCAAAGAGGGATCCTGGAGCTCTTGACTATTTAGCCAAGAGTTCACTTCAGGTCAGTTGCACCTTGGGCCCTGAAGAGCTGAGCAACCTTTTCCCCTCCCCTCCACACTCCTCGCTGCCTTGACATTTTAGGTGAGGTCTCCCATTTGAAGTGAGACATAAGAATAATCCGACAAACAGAATTCAAATGCAATAAATTAATGTGTGCCATCCTAGTCAGGCCTTGGGGTCAGTGGCACAACCTGTCTTGGGGAATCCAGCTAGCATCCAGATTACAGCCCCTCTGGCTAGCCCTGGAAAATCTTAGGGGAGTTGAAAAAGGCCAAGGACAGCGAGGAGCCTCCCCCCACCAGGCCCTTGGACAGGAGGAGAATTTTTCCCACCCAACCTGATGAACTTACTGGAGGAGGGGTGAAGCTTTGGTACAAAGCATCGCCGGCAGGCAAACTGCGCCTCCGGGGCTCGGCCCCCTTCCGAACCCAAACAGCTTCCATGGGCACGCGGGGCGCAGCCAGCTGTCTCCGGGCCTCGTCCACCTCTCGCTCCAGCCGCGCCCTTTCCGCCTCACTCTCCCGCAGCCGGCCCTCCAGGGCAGCCGCCTCCTGGGCCTTCTCTTGGCCAAGTTGCCGGCAGCGGTTCAGCTCCTGCTGCAGGAGGGCGTGCTGCTTCTGCAACAGCGAGAGCTCCGTGGCCTGCTGGTCGGCCGAGGAGACCTCTTTGCGAGAGTTGCTGCGGCTCAGCCTTTCCCGCCGTTCCCCGGCCTCCTGCGCCTGCAGGGCCAGGAGGGTGTCCTGATGTGCCACGATGCCCTGAGGGAAAAATGGGGCAGGCAGGCTGCAATTACTTCCATGTACTAACCGTGGGGGGGCAGGGTTGAATCTGGCATTTCTATCTGCACTCCAACATCCCTGCCAGCTGCTGCTTTATTGCATTTTTGGCCTGCTGGCACAAACTGCTGGCATCTAGGGCAGACCCAATGGCTCAAGGTACATGCACCTCTGTGTTCACAGAATTCCCCAGTTTTGAACACTGGGAAAACTCATTCCTCTTTGTGTGGGGCATTCTTTAACCAGAACACCAAGAACAAGAACTCTCCTCTTTACCTAAGCTGAAAGTTGCCCTCCCTCTCTGAGCTGGACCTCCAACCCCCAGGCATGCTGCCTGCTTCGGATGGCCCTTTATCACTTCCATGTGGCACCACAACAGCACTGCTCACTTGGGTGTGAATTTAGCATCCATGTCTTCAGCTTGTTTATCATCCACCTCTTCTACCCTGCAGCTGAAGACTGGGTGTCTCCAAGCAATTCCCCTCCAGATGCTGATTAGGCCCCCCCAGCTTACTTTTGCCAGGGGGCTTCAGAGCAGATCCTGGATTCCATTCCAGAAGTGAGACCTGTTCTTTGAATGCCCCTCTCATGCTCTGCTTAGCATGAGCAAGAGGACAGAACTGTAGTCGATGGCCCCAGATAACAGGGATCTCCACAAGCCCAGGGCACGGCTTTTTATAGGAGCCATTATGTTAACAGCATTCAATTAATTTAATGTAAGTTGAATAACACTTTAATATAGTCTTCATTAAAAATCAATTTAGTGAAATTTTCATTCATTTAAATGAATCTCTTTCATTTTTAGTCAGCTAAATTGAGGTTAAACTAAGCTTACATGCAGACCTCCTCTGCCTCTTTTTTGAAATAAACAAACTATTAGAGAGTACTTTAATAATTATCTGCTTATTAAGGCTTTCTCTTTCTAATTGGGTACAGCATTTCAAGGCAGTGTGTCCCAGGGAAGTGGTTCTAAAAACGCACCCGATAAACAAATGGCGAACACAGTCCTCCATCCTCACAGAGCCCCTACTGCTTGGTGTTGCCCTGCACGGGGCAGGAATAAAGGGGACAGGCTTAAACCAGACGCACCTGCAAGCCGTGGAGCAGAGAATAGAGGCTCTTGAGCCGCTGGAGCGTCTCCTGCAAACCGGGGAGAAGATGCTGTGTTCAGTCTGGGCAGACCAAGCTCCCCACTCCACCCCACCCAGAGCAAGAGGGCTACGCCATGCTTCCTTCTCTCCTGGCACCACCTCAGGCACTCTTCCAACTCACCTCCTGCACTACTTTTGGCTGCAACTGGTTGCCATTTCCATCCTAATGGAGGAAAGCATAAGCCACATCAGATACCACCACACCAAACCTGACCGAAAGCTCAGCAAGTGATCTGAATCTGGTCCAGCTCAAAACAGAAGGGTGGTCAAGGCCCCTCCCTTGGCTAAGGCAGAGTGAAGATCTCTCCACTGACTTGTGGGCAGAGAGTGGCTGCTGATGGGGATGCCAAGGACAGGTCCTCCCCTCTTGCCCCAATCATCCCTGCCAGGCTGCAGGTGGCCTAAAAGCTGAGGAAACTGGCTGCTGCCCATTTCAGGACTGGCCTTTTCCACAAGCACCCTGGTCTTTACCAGGAGCCCCAGAATTCTCCTAGCCATAACCCCTTTTTTCCAACTACCCTGGAGCCACGCTGGGAGAAAGCATTTCTAAAGGAATTTCAAGAGGTGGGATTTCCATCAGCCTCCCTGGAAGCAACATTCAGGTTCAAGATTTCCCTAAGAATATTTTTTTTAAACTGGCCTTCTTTAAAAAGAATTCATGCGGAAAGCTTGAAAAAGCCTGACCCGCCCTCTGTGTGTGGCTCCCTGGAGGCAGGAGACAGTCAAATGTACTGCTGGCCAGTGGAGGGTTCTGTCCATTTCATGACGTTGCTAAGCTCTGGGCAAGAGACTCAGCAATTCCTCACTGAAGGGCAGCCACCAAGTCCAGCTGCTGCACAGAAGCGGAAAAAGAGCTCAGCTGTTCGGAAAAGGCTCACCCGTTGGCTTGAATCAGCTTCAACCCTGGTGAACTCAAGAGCATCATTGATGTTTCCAGTCTCCCCATCTGTAGGATGAGAACAAGAGAGGTTTTTAGCTCCAGAAGGTGGATGCAAAATGTTTGAACCAGTGATTTTGGTATGTAAATAAATTGCTGAAAGAGACACATTTTCCCCAGGCCATTCTGTTTCACTCTCCATTTTATCCTCTACGCCTATCTACCATCACACACATCCCCACAAAGAAAAAAACCCAGAAAAGTAATTTGCCAAGAAGTTCCAGCAACACGACTCATGGTCAGTTGAGCCACCATGAATTAGCCCAAATGCCTGGGTTGGCACCTACCACAAAGCCTCTAACCACAGTTTAGCCTCAAGTGCTATGTAAGAGCAGCCTACAGTTAACTTTAAGGGACCCTCTGCCTGGTGAATTTCAGGGTGAGGAGAAGCAGAAGGGGAAGCAGAAGAGGTTTCTTACTTGTGGCATTACTGGGGTTAGGGCTGGAGCAGCCATTGGGAGTCTGGATGGGGTTCTGTTCTCGATCCCAGCTGGGTCCCACAATGAGATCTTTCAGAACTTCCACTGGGGATATATTTGTTGGTGAAGAGAGACAGAAAAGGGACACACACACACACATCTATTTTACAAGCAGATATTCTTGTTACATTATACAAGAAATAATATTCCCAGAGTTGCTTCCCAATCCCTGAGCCTTTGGGTACGTGTCAGTGCAATGTAAGTCACAAGTACACGATGCTGTTCAAATCCATGCCAGTACCAGCTCCAGAAACATGCTCTATTCCTTTCTCCCATCAAATGAAAGAATTGCCATTTACTCTTGTGGGAAGTAACAAAAATTGCCCTGCAGTCCTGCAACCTGGCTTGGTTGAGTCTCACCAACACAGGCCTGTTGTGTTCTTGCCAAGTCCGTCTCTTGTCACAAGACCACTCTGTGACAGCGGAGGGCTGGCGTTGCAAATGGAGCCCCCACGTTTGGTATCAGAAGATGGGACAGAAGAGCAGTGAAGAGACCTAGGACTTGTTTTTGGATTTCCTCGGAAAGTACTGGGGATTGATGGAAACTGATACTGGACTAGGAGCCGGAAAAGCTGATTCCACACAGCTTATTCATACATTTTTAGGAGGTCCTGAATGAACAATAAATACGCTTTGGATAAGTTTCCATTGTTTCACTTTCTAATGTGAAATTCAGGCCATGATCTTTGCTTTTGGCATTTGTCATTTTTACTTCCTCTCTTTTCCCCAAGTTAACTCCTTTGGGGCTGTTTTTGGTACTTCTGCAAAGTCAGTTACCCAGAACTGCTGACACCTCCTCTCTCTTCATTTGAACAATTTTTCTCTTGGAGCCCATCTCTGCTAGAGGGAGCAGTAAGTCTCCGCAGCCATCTTGGAACTAGACCCCGATTTCTTCATAAACTAAGGTTTCTTCCTTGCAGTGGTTTGTGTGGGGAGATTGCTACCTTCTCTGATGGCCTCCTGGATCAGCTTCTCGCCATGTGGAGGGTCTGATGATTCCACGCGAAAGAGAGTGCGGGGATTCGCCCAGGGCAAGGGGCTGTCTTCTGCGCTGCTCTGAAGAGTCACAAGGTCTGCAAAGAGCTCTCCTTTCTCCTCAAGAAGTGCCATGATCTCCTGGTCACACTGCTGAATCTTATCTGTGGGAGAGAAGAGAGCATGGCTGCCAGGGGAAGGGGCAGGTGGGAAGGGCAAAGTCTGCCCGGGGAAGCTGGCAATGAGTTTGACCTTACCCTTCAGCTTCCTCAGAGAGGCTTCACTCTCGGTCTCAATGAAGGGGAAATCAGCCCGGTCAGGGCAGCTGCAGCAGAGAGGCAAACAGACACATCAGGTTAACCCTCTGGACCATCTCGGTCTGGAAAGGAGGGGAACTGCACTGGCCTCCTTGGGGAGTCTGTGACGATCCAAATTGGGGGGTGAAAGAGCAGCTGTGTGGAAGGGTCCTCAGTTGCCACAAAGGAACTCAACACCCTTTTAGAGTCCTCCCCACCAACTTCTGGGGCAACCAGAATTGGTACTGAATCAGCCACCCGTCAACTTCAGCCAAGCCCTGCCTTCTCAGGACACTAAAAGAAAGAAATCCTGCTGCCCTTTTATCTGCTATTTTTCCTAGTTTTAGAAAGCCCTGTTTAAGTCTCCTTCCATTCTTTAAAAAAACCCTAAAGGCTGTGATTATTTAAGCTCATTGTCACTGAAAGGTAGCACAAACCCTGGATGATTTGGGTTCCCCTCTCTGGGGCCATTCCAATTGAATAGGTATCGCCAATTTGTATAAAGGGGTTTATTTATTTATTTTGAAAAATTATATGCTGCTCTTTACAGCCATGTTATGGTACAGCTTCAGTGTAGATTCATTCATTCATTCATTCATTCATTCATTCATTCATTCATTCATTCATTCATTCA